TATCATTCTGTGCTTTAGGATTATCGAGCCACTAGCATCAACATGTGCGAGTTTCGTTTCAAGTCTTTGAACCAAGACGTGATGCACGGGAGGATTTTGCATATATGCTCAGAGGAGGGGGTGCAAATGGGCTCCGAGGTTACGATTTCTTCTGCTTCCTTTCCTATTGTTCTTATGTTTTTCTTATATATATATATATATATATATCAGGCACTGGCTACATTGAGTCGAGTGTCCGAGGGAGATCTTCGTCGAGCAATCACATATCTACAGGTTTTAGAGTTCTGTGCTTCTGCGTAATCGGGAACTGTTTGTTTTGTGTAGAGCGCTACGAGGCTTTATGGATCATCGATCACAAGCAAGGATATCCTCAGCGTTTCCGGGGTAAGCCTTTGATCCCTTTGTCGTCAATGTCTAGCGATATCTCGTTGCAGGTTATTCCAGATAACGTGATCCAGTCCCTCTTGCAAGCCTGTACGAGTGGAGTGTTTGATCAAGCTCAAAAGGAGGTGACCAACATCATAGCCGAAGGCTATCCTGTCTCACAAATATTTTCTCAGGTAACTTGGAAGCATTAAGTGCTTTTGCAAAGATAAGATTTCTTCTCAGGTTTACGATCACGTTGTCGAATCGCCTGAGATATCGGACGAGCAGAAAGCTAAAATCTGCCAGAGACTAGCCGAAGCTGACAAGGTGCTAGTAGCAAGAAGAACGAGCTCTTTAACGATTTTTTTTTCATTCTTCCAGTGTCTTCTCGATGGAGCAGACGAGTCTTTGCAACTCATGGACGTGTGCAGCAATACTATGCGAGCACTCTGTAACATGACCCAAGAGTGTAGCTATGTCTAACTTGATTTCTCCACTTAACATGAATTCTCCCTCGCTGCTGTTTCCAGAGTGAGATTTGTCTATATCACACCTTGGAGCTACTTATCTGAGACCTTGAGCAAACCGGGAGGACACGGGAACACCACGCTTCCATGGGAGCTGCTCCACAGCAGGCGCTGCTGGGCTCTTCTTTCCTTCCGGAGCCACACTGGCTTTGGGATCCACCAGTGTCTTCTGGAAAGTTTGCGAGAAACCAGTGGCGATTATCGTGACGTGAACTTGGCCGTCGTATCTCTCGTCGACCACAGCACCAAATATGATATTTGCTGCGGGGTCTGCCAAGCCGGTCACCACCTAAAAAGAGAGAAACCATGAGAACATCAAGTTTTATGATCGGCTATGGCTATACAGACCTGAGAGACTCGGTTAACCTCTTGAAGCGTCAAGTCCCTTCCACCCGTGATGTTGTAAACAACACCCGTGGCTCTTTCGATCGATCTCTCGATCAATGGAGCCGATGTGGCCTGCTGAGCCGCTTCTTCTGCCCGGTTTTTGCCGCTAGCAGTCCCGACTCCAAGCATGGCGGTCCCTGAGTTTGTCATGATCGCTTTCACGTCTGCGAAATCTACGTTCACCAGTCCGGAATCGGAGAGA